TATTTGTTTACCCGCCACAAGGATCAAGGCAATGTCTCTCGGCTGTCTGCTTCGAATCAAAGAAAAGAAATTCAAAAGCGCGTATATCTTCTGTGCCACCTGAACCCCCAAACCCTAAACCCTAAACTCTAAACCCTAAGCCCTAAACCCTAAACCCTAAACCCCAATAAACACTAAACACTAAACGCTGCAAGCTCCCCACCCCTAAACCCAAGTTCAGGCGTCAACCAACCCCCCTACGGCTTAACCCCACCCCCTACAAAACCGTAAACCTTAAACCCTAAACCCTAAACCCTAAACCCTACAAGCACCCCACCCCTAAACCCTAGTTTCGGCCATCAACAACTCCCTACGCCTGAACTCCACCAAAACCCCAAACCCTAAACCCCAAACCCCAAACCCTAAACCCCAAACCCTAAACCCCAAACCCTAAACCCTAAACCCCAAACCCTAAACTCTAAATCCTAAACCCTAAACCCTAAACCCTCACCATGAGGCCGTGGAGGGCGTTGTGGTAGGGGACGGGGAGGTAGTACTTGTCGATGGTTTTGAGAAAACGAATTAGGGTTTGGTCTCCAGGAGTGTCGAAGCAAAAAGGAGACAAAAGAATAAACCCTAATTCGCAGAGAGGGTTGCTGCTGTCTCCCCCGTACTGCAGCACGTCAAACCTCCACTCTCCCAGCGAAGCCAACAGCCCCGAAGAACCCTGCGCAAACCCTAAACCCTAAACCCTAAATCCTAAACCCTAAACCCTGCGGCGGCTCGCCCAAGAGCCGGCGCTTCCAAGCAAAGGCGGCGAAGTTCCGATCCAGACAAGTCGAAAAACCCTAAACCCTCGTAAACCCTCGCAGGAAACCCTAAAACCTCATAAACCCTCCTTTTAGACCCTCGCACTAAACCCTTGGACTAAACGCTCGCATTAAACCATCGAAGTAAACCCTTGCAATGGACCCTCACGTTAAACCCTCGTGTTAAACCCTCGTGGTAAACCCTCGTGGTAAACCCTCGAGCTAAACCCTCGTACACCCTAAACCCTCGTAAACCCTAAAGCCTCACGGCGGTTCCCGGGGAGAAGAGGTAGGCGACTCTGAGGAGTTTGTCGTCGTTGT